ACTCATCTCTGCCTACTCCCTTGTGGATCCTGAAAAAGCGAAAGTGTATCCTTTTGACAGTGGTACTTGTGGCATTTGGGCATTGTTTCCTTGTGTGGGAAATTTAACTTGTGTGGGAAATTCAGACTCACTCTCTCGTGAAGAAAGACAAGGAACATTTCCAGTTGCACATCCAGGTCACGTTTTCTGGAGCTGCTTTATTTCCTAGATGGTTGGTTGCCAGTTGGTATCTGAACAAAGCTGGGTGTTCAGTGTTTATCATACTTGGTTGCCTCTTGTCAGTTGCATGTTAGCCTTCCTGGTTTGCATTCCTAAACTCTTCCTTTGTAGTCTTAGCAAACATTTGCCTTCTTCAGACACCCTGTCGCTGAAAGTAGATGTTGATGCACTAGAGAACTCCCATGGAGCAACCTATGTTCGGAAGAAAGCTGGGAAACTCACTGGAGACAATCAACAGAAAGAGCAAGGGTACAATGCTGCTTTGGCTCTGGCATAGTCATTTTTTGGAAAGGCAGAAGAACCATACCTGTTGTGATGAGAGTATTACTGTAGCAGACAGGCTGGTGTGTAACTGCAAGGAGCTTCAGGTAGCAGCAGACTAAGCTTTTAGAAAGATGGGGATGTTTGGCTTCTTCTAGAGATAGCATTTGTTTGACTTGGTTTGTGCTATGTCACAGTGACTGTTTTCTGCCTTCCTTTTCAGACAAGGGGAGGTGAAGAAGAAGAAGAAAAAGAAGAAAGGTAAGTCGTGTTTCCCATCTTCTGGTAGATCCAGAGAGCTGGCCAGATTGTTTCTTTTGATAGGCAGCCTTGAGCTCCTTGGCAGCTGGAGCCCTTTGCTAAGTCTGGGTCTCACTTAACTCAGGTGTTCATGATTACACCTTTTGTAGGGGACATTTCTGCACAGAAGTGAGAAGAGCACCTTGATAGAAGACCCACAGTGAAATCTGTTACGTGTTTCTGGGCTCTGTGTGCTTTCTGTTGATGCTCGTCTAGTGAGCTGACTCCAATCTCATTGCCTGGCACTAACTGTTCTGTAGGAAAGCTGCCCAAGAACTATGACCCCAAGGTAACTCCTGATCCTGAGCGGTGGCTTCCAATGCGAGAACGTTCGTACTATCGTGGCCGGAAGAAGGGGAAGAAGAAGGACCAGGTTGGCAAGGGAACTCAGGGTTCAACCACAGCTGGTTCCTCTGAACTGTAAGTACCCATTGCTGGGCCTGGTGTGGGAAATGACTCCTGGGTGGCTAGGAGGGGTGTTTTTTCCAGTCTCTGTCATCTCACCAGCTCTGGGTAGCACAGTTGAAACTGTACTTTGTAACTCAAACCTTCTACCAGCTGCTCTTCCAGAAGATCTCTGTAGTTAACTGAAAACCAAAACGATTTAATAGACATGCTTGAAGGTATTAAAGTACAAATAAAATGGAGAAGGAAATGCTTTTAAAATAATAGCAACACAGGGATCTGCAAGTTCTGTATGACAGTTCCTCATTTATACAGCTGTCTCTAAAAACTAAGGCATTAAATGCCTTTTGTGGTACTGTTGGTTTGAGCGGTGTTTGCCAGGAGAGCTGGCATAGAGATGCCTATATGCTCAATGGGGGAAAGAGGATTTTGGTCTTAAACCCCTGTAATGGAGGGGACTGAAAGGGTTCTCTTGTATTGCTTGAGCTGTTACCTGTCTATTCTAAAGCTGAAAGCCTTGCTTTCATTGTTATGGACTTCTAGTGTTGAATGAGCATCTGTTAGAAGTTGGTTGCTTGCCCTTGGAGACACGTTCCCATCACACATTGCTCTCCTACTATCTACACTGAAGTTCATCTGAGATAAGCAACGTTTCCTTGCGTGAATGCTCTCACATCCTTAGGTTTTCTGTTGCTACTTTATAGGGCAACTACTATTTTTTTGCTGTTAGCTTTCTTCTAAGCTGCTGCTTACAGTGCTACATCTTGCAGGTGGTTGTGAACTCATGTGGTGTCTTTTTTTCTTGTCTTCTCTGTAGGGATGCCAGTAGGACTGCCAGCAGCCCACCTACCTCCCCTCGGCCAGGCAGTGCTGCAGCTGTATCGGCTGCAAGTAATGTCATCCCTCCCAGGCACCAAAAACCTGCTGGTGCCCCAGCCACCAAGAAGAAACAACAACAGAAGAAGAAGAAAGGGGGGAAAGGAGGGTGGTAGAAAGCAGAATGTATAACGTGCACACATCAGTAGGTGATGTTGGTTGTATAATAAAGGTCAAAAAGTGGTGGTGAAAGACTGTATCCAAATCTTTGTTGGTGCTCCAGGGGGAAGAAAGCTGATAGAGGGCACCACATGACTCACCAGGTTGTCTTCCTCACACTTGTACCTACTGTGGCTTGTCTTCCTCCTAAACTGTTAGCACACAGTATAAACCAGACTAAGGAGCCTCAATGAGCGTGTCTGAGGGGCTTCTGCATCTCCTGCTCTCAAACAGGATGTTACGCAGGAGCAGCTGAGGTGCTGTTGCAAGGGAGCCAGGCTGGGTAAAAAGGACAACTGTGTTACTTGATTATCCCTTGTGCTTCTGTGGAACTGCATTCTTAACTGTAAATAAACACAAGAGCTTGTAGCTTGTTTCTGAAATGAGATCTGTTCCATATGTGCAGTGCCAGGAGGTGCCTGCTTCCTAGCTTCTGCTCCCAACTGCTGTTTTAGTTGCTTGCAGAAATGACTTGCTGGGCCAGCATAGTGGATTTGTGAAAGACTGTTTTTGAGAGCAGCAAGCTCCTTTGAAAGTTCTCCAGTGCTTTCACCCACCATAAGTTAGAAGATAGGCAGTTGGGTTTAATGTGTAGCCAGATCCCCCTTGAGGGACTGTGACAGCATTCTCTGTGGGTTGATTTTCATGTTTCTTTTAGGATTGCAACCTAAGGATTGCCTCCTCTGCTGAGTCCCACCTCTCTCCGGCAATCCTGCTGAATAGCTTGAGTGAGATGTTGCTTGTGGCAGGGGACACGGCTTCAGATCATAGCAGAGAGTTCCATAGAGCTTTTAAGAAAAAATAAATCTCACAATTCAGATTGTATGGAGGGAACTGGATGTTAGCAAATTCAAATGCAGCCTTTAAAAAATTTGCCTCTCCAGAGGTATGGAATAACCAAAAACATCTTGAAACAGTTACACTGCTCCCCCATATGCTAGTCAAAGCTTCTAACAGAATTTTTCTGTTTCTGATGCAAGTACTGTCTTCAGTGCTGTATTCCAGCGAGTCACTGACCACCAAACAGCAGAGGTGCATAGGGTGCTGAAAAACACCACATGGTCTAGATAATGCGGGAGAGGATAACCTGAGGAGGACAGCAAGACTTACAATGAGTGAGACATTGGCACAGGCTGCCCAGGGGCGTGGTAGAGTCACTGTCCTCAAAGGTGTTACAGAACTGTAGAGATGTGACATTGAGGGATGTGGTTAATGGGCATGGTGGGGGTGGGTTGGGATTGGACATGATGGTCTTGGAGGTCTTTTCAGCCTTCATGATTCCAAAGTAAACTATCAAACTGTGTGGCAGCTGAGCTGACTCACTGTCCACTTTCCTGCAAGCCAGCTCTCTTAGTAGCGGGCTTGGCAAAGCAAGAACTAGATAAGACAAGGTGGCTGGTTGTGACAGCTGTTTGCATTGGAAAAGCATAGCACTTCTCAAGTGGAGGCAGGCGATGAGATTGAGGATGAGCATTTGCCTTCCTAGCACTCTACTGGTAGTCTCTCAAACATCTCTTCAAACTTCCAGTTGTTGCAAAAACAAATTTTCCCTATGCACGGATTTTCAGTGGTAGAAATAATACTTCAGGGAAATGCTATTGTGCTAGATGTTAACCTGAGAGGTAAAGGCTTCTGTATCTGAAAGGATTTGATGCCAAGGCCTGAAGCGGAAATGTTACCATGACTTCACATAAACAAATTCACAAAAAAGCCAGAAAGCATAGAACATTATTTGTCACTCATTGCTCTTTCAAACTTACGGAATCATAGAATTGTTTGGATTTGAAGGGACCTTTAAGATCCTCTCACTCCAGCCTTCCTGCTATAGGCAGGGACACCTCCCTCTAGCCAGGTTGTTCAAAGCCCCATCCAGCCTGGCCTTGAATGCCTCCAGGGAGGGGGCATACACAACCTCACTGGCAATTTAAAAGCATCTGCAGGGTCTTCATAGTGGTCTTTTTAAACTTATCAATAGGTTTAAGAAAACAATAGGAGGTATTTTTTTTCCTCCCCACATTACCCAAGGGGGGAACCTGTGTTTCAGAGGACCAAGTTACCAATGAGCCTAGAGGAAAAAAAAGGCATACTCACAAAGAACAACCGCTAGGGATGAAAACGCAAGTTCTTTTGGCTTCGTAAATCTACGAGTTAATGGTTCTGTAGAAGCCGAGAAGAGCAAAGGAAGGATCAGGAACTTGCAGCCGGCAGCTGGATGAGGCCTGACTCTTTCCACCGGTACGTACCTGCAGGTCTGCAGCAACGCCCTGCTGGGGCCTCGTCGCTGCAGGCACGTCCGTCTGCCTGTCTGTAGGGGGAGCCGCTCGGCCAGCTGCGGGCCGCCGCCTCTCTCCGGGCAGGGCTGGGCCGGGCGCGGGGTGGCCATGGGCAGCCGGCTGCGGCCCGCGGCGCTGTGCGGAGCGGTGCTGGCCGCGGCGGGCGGCGCGGCGGTGGCGGCCTGGGTGTGGGCCTACGTGCGGGGCCGGGCCCGCCGCTCTCCTCCCGCCGCCGCTGAGCAGGTACGGGGCGGCCGGCCGCGGTGAGCTCCGGGGGGCGGGTAGGCCCCGGCCGGCTCACCGGGCGTGCTTCCCTCCTTTAGCAGGTGAAGGGAACCGGCAGGCAGATCCTGGTGCTGGGCCTGGACGGGGCGGGGAAGAGCAGCGTTCTCCACTCGCTTGCCACCAACCAGGTGAAGCGCAGCGTGGCGCCCACCGAGGGCTTCAACGCCGTCTGCATCTGCGGCGGGGAGAGCCAGATGGAGTTCCTGGAGAGTGAGTGAGCTGCGTTCGTGCCGAGCGCGGTGGATGCTCCCGTCCCGCATCCCAGGGATCAGCCCCCTATTGTAGAACCGTCGTCCCTCCTTATCTGATAACACGGAGCTGGGGTTGTTTTCTTCTTGGAGATTCTGCTGCCCGACCCTGGTGATATAAGAAGATTACGGCCTGCTCTCAGGGGAGGTCTGTGCTGTCTGAGCCTGCCCGGGGGGAGCTCTGCTCTCAGACAGTGCTGCTAAACGCAATGGCAACAAGCCTGTCCAAAGCACAGGTGTCCCTGCATGGCCGCTGTTCCTTGTACAGCTTCCCGTTGGTGCTCAAGCCTGAAGTGAGCAAGCATAGAAGAGAAATACTAAGGGGAAAGAAGGCAGGAAGGAAAGCTTTGCATGCCTTTTGTTCCAGAGCCTCCATAGGAGATGGTAGAGGAGAAGGGGCCCTGGATTCCATCAGTCCCTGGTACTGAGGGCTGACATCCTTGCTAGACTGCTGTGGAGGCCACGTGCTTCCCTTTCTGCTTTTCATACCAGCACTTGGCTGACTCACTTGGCAGCTAACCCAGGTACACCTCAGTATTGCTGTCGGCAGGAGTTGTGCTGCTCCCAGGCATGTGGGTAAGTGTTTAGGATGGGAAGATAGAGTCTCTAAAGCAAAGTGTAATCCTGCCTTAGGGAAATGCTTCAGATATGCTCCTATTCTGTGCTCCTCTCCTTGTACCTATCAGACAGACACCAGTATTTCCCGATATTGTTGCTAGGAATGAGGTGCTCTGTACTAACTAAGCTTGAAAAAAAAAAAACCAACAAAAAACCACAGTACTTCTGCACCTGCTTGGGAATTGCTCACGCCCAGTACAATGCGCACCACAGCAGAACGTGTTGTTTCTGAGTCATCCTTCCCTCTCTGGTCCAGGTTGGTAGTGACTGAGATGTGATGGCTGCAATCTGACCCATGGGAGATGAAATGTCTCAGGCCAGTTTCAGCCAGGTAAATCTGCATGGTGCTCTAATCTGGTTACTTACTCAGTCTGTACCATTGCCTGTAGCAGGGGTTAGCAGCCTACGCTGTGATTATGTGGCATACTATGATCAGCAGACAGCAGGATTTTTATCTTGCTGGCCTGGACAGACAGAATATTGTTCCTTTTCTTTGTACCATTATACAGATAAGTGGGTTGAATCTTGCCTCTGTAAGCGGTAGGAGAGCCTGGCTTCTGCTGTATTGCTATTTGTTTAGGAAATAAAAACATTAGCTGTAAGTTGCTGACCCCTGGTTTATGCTATGTATGAATGCACTGGACAAGAGAAATAGCGGGGAGCCTATAAAATAACACAGTACTGTCGGAGGCATAAGCCCCAAGAATAATATGTCAGTCATGGCCCTTTGGCTTATTTCAGCAGTGGCAGATCTCAGTTCTGCCTGCAGGTATGCTGGAGCTGAAGAAGAAAAGTAAAAGAGGGAAAAATTGAGTTGCATATAAGGCAAAAGTCTTTTACAGTGAAGATGGCGATGCACTGGCACAGGTTGCCCAGAGAAGTGGTGCAAAGGCCCATCCCTGGAGACATTAAAGGCCAGGCTGGATGGGACTCTGAGCAACCTGATGTAGCTGTAGGTGTCCCTGTTCACTACAGGAGGTTGGACTAGATGGGCTTTAAAGGTCCCTTCTACCTCTAAGGCTTCGATGATTCTATGATTAGAACAAGCACATACTCCCTAGCAGGGAAATGTTGCTTTTCTTTGTACATTCTTGAAACTACTAAATCATTTTTACTTAAGTGAAAGCAAAATTGCTTTGAAACACAACAGATTAGCTAGCATGTCAATTTTGAAGAATTCCTAAATAAGGCAGGAAGCTGTCATAGAAAACCCCAAGTATAATACTTTGGAAGTTTGTTACATTTGGAGTCAAGTCACCCACGACCCTTGAGCGTGTTGTTCTGCAGAGGACCTCTCTTCCCCCCCAACCTTTTCCTGAAAGGAACAGATCTGAAGAGCTGAAAATACATCTGAAGTGCTTAACAATACACTATTCCTGTCTCTCTTAAAATTCAACAAGCCACCACATTGTCCTTAGATGGTAACAGCAGTCTTAGACATGTGGCTTCATATTGTTATAAGCCCTTGTTTTGAATATGAAAAGCTTAGTCAGCAGAGAAGAGACCTGGTAGAAATGTAATCTGTGCAAAGATTACTCCTGTCACCTAAGGACAGCTCAAAGAGCCTGCTGGAACTTGATTTTTATTTCTTCCTAAGGTACCTCTGCAGCTTTGACAGTGTGAAAGCCCTGGGAGTTTTGAATTAGCCCCTGACATTACACAGATCTAATGAGAGCCTTTTCCACTCTAGGGTTAAATTTCTCTCTTGGAAATTGTAGGCTCCTTTGTTTTGTGAGGGGCATGTAGACTGATCATGTGGGGACATTCTCACATGACCTTTATAGACACTGAACCTGTTTCTGCTCTCCCTTCTAGGTTGAGAGAAAGAACCTACAAGGCAGAAAGCAACCATAAAAAACAAACCTCCAGAACTTAAAATGAAAAGACTTTTTTCTGAACATACACATAAGCCTGCATGGGACTCAGATGGGGGGAATAAAGCTATTTCCAGTCTTGCATACAGTAGGCCCAGTACCTTGGGTTTTCACCCCAGGGTCCGCTGCCTGCATTACGGGTGTGGTGCTGTTTGGGTTACTTGGTGAATTTTGTGCTGCTCTTTACTCTTCCAGTTGGGGGCAGTGAATCTCTACGTTCGTACTGGAAGATGTATCTGCCCAAAGTGTTGTTGCTCATCTATGTTGTGGATTCAGCTGATCATGCCCGACTACCTGTGGCAAAAGAGCTACTTCATCAACTGATCCAGAACAACTCCACCCTGCCAGTGGTGGTTCTAGCCAACAAGCAGGTAGGAGTTCCTGTGCCTAGCTGAACTTCAACTGGCTGCGACTCTGAAAACAGCAGCAAAGCTCTTCAATTAAGGCTATGTGGATTGGGGGGGGTGGAGGGGGAAGGGAGGGGAGAGGCTTCTGAGGGCACCACAGAGTTGACCACAGAGTGAAGTAATCTGAGGTTGCGTTTTAGATCTGTAAGATGCAGGTCTTACTGAAACAAGAACGTACCTTTGCTTCTTATTTCTTATAAGCATTTTGTTTCCAAAGCATTTTAGGGCATGGAAACTTGATCTCATAGAGGTACATAAGAACGATGCCCTCAGAAACTTTGAGACCCTTTGCCTCCCTGTTGCAATTAATAGGCTTGTTTTGATTGACTTGTTTTGGTATTAGGACCTTGAAGGTGCATATTGCATCACAGATATCTACGATGCTCTGGCACTGTCTGATATCGGAGACAAGAGGAAGATGTTCTTGCTTGGTACCCACGTGGCAGAGGATGGCTCAGAGATCTCCTCCAGCATGAAGGATGCCAAGGAGCTGATAGCACAGCTGGTTTTGGAAGTGCAGTGACAGCTCTTTTCCTACAACACAGTATTTGCAGCTGTGGAAGATGGGGTGCTCATCTACAGTCAGTTTGCCACATGGTAACAGAAATGTAAAGATAGCTTTTCTTTCTGTCTGTGTAGTTCCTCTGAAAATCATGTCTAGTTGGTAGGAGAATCTGTTTTTATAGCGTTTTGAAAATAACTCTGGAAAATAATATATTTGTAGCATATTTATAGGGGGAAATGAAACTCTCAGGCAGCAGATTTAAGGGTATTTATAGCTTAGGCTAAGATGGCATCTTGCTAGGTTGGAGTCAGCTATTGATTTTAATGAAACAAAGTTGTATCCTGTGAATAAACTGTCCTGATGTCTCAGGTTTAAATGATTATAGGTAACAGGTTTTAGAGAACACTGTTAGCAGTACTGTGCTGTTAAAAATGAGATCCTACTTCCCAAGAGCCTCAGGAGTTTCCTTTTAAGAGAGTGGCTACTTGGTAATTCCTGGAAATTGGGCAGGTTGCAACTACTTTATCAGATAAGAACAAGAACACAAGGGCAGTAAGACATTAAGTATTTCTGTTCTAGTTTTTCCCTGTAAGCAAAGTATAATTTCAAGTAGTGACTGAAAGAAGTTTAGGTGGTATCAGAGTGGAGGATTCCATCAGTCTAAGTGTCTTATTTTGGTTTGGTCCAGATTGTGCAGCAGCAAGCAGTCTTATGGGTGAGAAATTTAACATTTTTTTTTAAAGTGATTTCTGTTAGCATAGCAGATGAGAAAGATGAATTGCAGAGGTGCATTACTTTCCCAGTATTGATATCCCTGTAACTATGCTCTGGTCATATGCCTGAGTCTAAAGAGCGTGGCAAAAAACACTTTTTGTAATTAAATTTATTATACAACGGTTTTGTAGTTTTGTCTGATGCATAAAGCAGAACATTTTACTCTAACCACTGGTCTTGGCTTCATTTACCTCAACAAGGAATGACACAGCTGGCCCTTCTGGGACAGTGAAATGGTGTTTAAAGGGAGTGGGTACTTAGGTTGGCCAGTGGAAGCTGTGGGTTAGTGGTGTTGGTCATCCAGAACAGTGCCTGTGGGGGGAGGTTAGCTGTGCTCCATCCAGCAGCCTGAGCTGCTGGCACCCTGCGGTCAGCAGCAGTTGCCATAGCATGTGCAAGCGCATTGCTATGCAGCTGCACTGGGAAGGGACCAAGGATACCAACCCAGGGAAAACAATACAAAGAGCTGTCAAGTGGTTGTATCCTAAGGAGATACACAGACTTCGCAGTCTTGTTACTTCACACTGAAAGGCAGGCAGCCCAGGTTACAGATGGTTGCAGGCTGGGTGTCCAGGTTGTGCCCTAGGCCTCTCGGGTATGGCTTACTTGGGGATTTACACTGGACAAGCAAAACACCTTTCTCCCTGCTCCTCATTACAAACAGTGCCTGCCTTTCCTTTCAAAATGGAAGCTGTGTACTGAAATTGTAAGGGACAAGCTGTATTGCTGAATGTTCAGAAGCACATGGGTCCTGACCCCTAAGTACTGCAAGAAGTAGCAGATGTTATAGCTGGACTCCTCTCAGCAATTTACCAACCTGCATTATACTGATCGACAAGAAAGGCACAAAAGAAAACCCAGGGGACTATAGACCTGTTGGTCTAGCCTAAACACCTGGAAAAGTTATGGAGAGGATTGTCCTAGATGCTGTTAGGAGGCAGTTAAAGAATAAAGGTATTATCAAGCATAGTCAACAAAGATTCATTAAAGAAAAGTCCTGCCTTAGCAATCTGATCTTCTATCATATGACTACCCACTTGGTGGATGAAAGAAAGGCAGTACATGTAATCTTTCTAGATTGTTAATAAGACCTATAATACTGTCACTCACAGCATCTCCCAGAACAAATTGTTCATCTGTCTGATAAACACAGGATATGCCAGGTGATGAGCTGAACGAATAGCAGAGCTCAAAGTGGATGGGTCTACAACTGCTTGTGAGCTGATTGTTAGCAGTATTCCCCCAGTGCTCTATTCTAGAGCCACTTGTGTTCACCACTTTTATCAGTGATCTGGTTGCAGGATTAGTAGAATACACCCTCAACAAGTTTGCTGATGACACTAAACTGGAAAATGCTGTTAAGTTCCTGAAGGAAAGAGAGACCTTTGCAGAGGAATCCGATGCACTGGAGCACTAGATAATTAGCAAGCATGAAGTTCAGTGAAGGAAAATACTAAACATGCTGCACCTGGACCAGAACAATGCCAGACGCAGGTACAGATCAGAAATGAGTGGCTGGGTAGCAGTTTAGCAGGAAGGTCTCTGGGGGTGTTGTTGACCGCGGGCTTATTGTGAGCCAGTGGTATCTGCTGATAGCCAAGAGGGCAAACTGTACTGTGGGGTGCTGTAAAGCAACAGAAAGTATGATGATGACAGTAGAATAGCAAAGTCCTAAGCTCAGCAAGTGAAGATTCCCTCAAATGCAATAGGCATAGAAGCAAAGAAAAGAATCTGCTTACCTTCAGAAAGACTCAGGTAGGGGACTCCAGCAAGAAACCATTACCTGCAATGCCAACCCTTAAATGAGGTCTGGGAAGGGGTGGATCTGGGAAGGGGAAGATGCATTATATGCACCTGAGTATGTCTGGGTTGCCCCTGCCAACTTTGTTGCTCTCTACAGCTTTACAAGAGATTGAACTCAAAAGCAGTTTGGGCAACAGAAGGGGGGTACTTCTATATCTGCCTGCAGCAAGCCTCATTTTCTCTCCTGGAAAGCATAAGCAAATAACATATATTTTCCTGGGACTCTCTTCTTGTCAGTGGTATTGCTTAATTCCTTCAGGTTGCAGAACCACTGAAAGTACCATCGTGTGTGGGGATGTTTACGTGTTCATAGTGCTTGCCACCATAAGGAAAAAAAAAAAAAAAAAAGTCACTTATCTTCCTAGAACTGGAGAAAGCTTTATGATCACCATATGAGTTGAGAGACCTGACTGAGATATGTGTGATTCCTCCCTCAGATGGATCTTGACACAGCCTTTGCAAAGCTGTGTCCAAACAGGGCTGCAGGGTGGCATTTGATGCAAGGTTTGGATGTGGCTGTGCTCACTGTGTGTGTAAACTGATGGGCCTGCTGCAGAAAGAATGCCAGCTCTGTAATGCAGCAAGTCTGGAGGTGGACTTTGTGCAGTTATCCTTTACCCCCTTGCACCTTTGTAAGGAAAAGCTCTTGAAGAGCCAATTGGCAGAAACTGCTGAAACTGGTGTTTGGCTCCTGAAAAGTGTACTGCTTTCCTGAGCATGTCTTGTCTTGACCTGGAGGCAGGGGGCCAGCATCCTGCGAGCAGTTCCCACCAAGGTGCCAGGTAGCCATGCTTGCAGTATTTCCTGCAGCAGGTAGGTGTGACAGGGAGATAAGTCAGCAAGCACCTTTCAGGGGGTCTGCAGTGAGATGTCCTAGCAGCAGCTTGCCAACACAAAGGTCTTTGTGGTGCTGAGCTGTTGTCTAACAAGCATTTGCTGGGGCTGTGTGCCCTGAAAGTTTTCAGCCAGGTGATATTAAGCAGCAAAGCAGTGCCCCGCCTGCTGTGTTTTTTTGCATGGTGGGGACTCCCACAGCTGTCCACATCATGCAATTGCTCCAGGCCTGGGACACTTAACCAGGAACAGTCTATGATAACTGTGCCAGATGAATGGTTTTTTTCTGGTGAATATTCAGTATGAAGATTTTCAGTGCTGCGTAATACTTGACCCTGGGGTACAAAAAGTCTATATCCCTGTGTTTCTATAGCTTCTAAGACATTTGTGCTCAATGGACTGAAATAAAATTGCAAAGTTTTTAAGCCCTTTAAGAAATATATCTTCACCTTTGCTCCTAAAGCCTTGTGGGAACAGTGCTATCCCCATGGTACCTTTCAGTAATCTATGAAAGCGTTGATAACAGGTGTTTCTGTTTGTCTGGGCAGCCTAGGCTGGCTAATCATCCAACCTACCTGCTAGGGTTGCCTGGCAAGTTATGAAACAGAAACATGCTTTCCCCCCCCTCCCTGTCATGTCCAAAAAGAACCTTGCAGAAAGAGCAGGTTTGCAAATTCATGTCTCTGCAATCAGAGAGAGCACAAAAATCTGTGGGCTGTTGAGTTCACTGGATTAAACCGATGAAAAGTTACTTGGAAAGAGAAAGAACCCTTAAACATACCAGAGTGAATGGGCGTCACCATACTCCAAAAAGTCTCCACAAACCCACTGTCCTGCTGTGCTGTTATGACTGCCCTGGTACCCTCTCCCACCAAGGGAGAGTTCACACAGTCTCTCTCTTTCTGTAGTCCAGGATGGGCAGCTCTAAATTTGCCCTGGGCACGTGAGAGTTACCACTAAGGTGCTGTAAAACCTCACCCACTTTCCATGGCACACCCTGAGCGTAACATTATTATTATTTCTACTGTCATACCTGTGGTATAGTTAGGTGGTAATGGTAAGCAAGAAAAATGCAATCATGAAACTCCTGCAGGGGTTTCAGAGGTGTAATGAAATGACCCTTTCTACACATCCCTTGGGAACTGTAAAACCAGACTCATTACTTGAAGGTCCTTTTCAAGTTGACAGCAACCACCTGCACAGCATTAGGAAATTCAGTGCCTAATAAGGTGAGTGCTCAGCATAAAGCCAGCAGCCCTTTACAGCTGTGGGGGAGATGGGCTGAATGTGCCCCTTCTTAGACAGGGAAGAATGGTCCCAACAGAGACGTAATACATTTGTATGTTTTTAAAGGTGCATTTCACACCCTTACTGTTCTTACCAGGCTTCTATGGGAAAACTAAGACAATCTAGACCCTCTCATGGGATGCTACAACATCTCTGCCATGCCCAAGGATAGTGGCATTATTGGGTATGGGTATTAGTGCCACACTTTACAGGGCAAACCTAGAGTTTCAGTTGGGTCGAAGTGTGGGTCAGTTTGGATGATGGATGGGAGCAGCACAGCCTAAGCAGGACATGGCACAGGAGAAAATGATTTTATACGTTTCTAGTAAGTTTAGTGTGCTTGGCATTGGCAATCCAGGCATTGGCTGGAGATACTGATGTGATAGTGATGCTCTCCAGCAAGGAATAAAATGAACAAACCACTGCAGGAGAATAAATGAATAAGCAAAAATGAGGATTCTAAGCACATGCCAGTTTAAGTGCGAGTCAGTGTATCTTAATCTTCTCTGTGTTAAGCTGATTCCTTCAGGAGTAGTAGAGGCAGGTGACTACAAACTAGAAGAGGATTTATCAGGGGATCCACTTATTGACTCACTGATCTACTAAAGAGAGGATTTTGATCCCTATTGTACAAGGTAAGGTCACTAGGTAATAATGCTTGTTACTTTTCAGTCTGTCCTGTACCAGAATGGACCAGAAACTGGCCTCTGTGAAGAGCCCCAGCACTGTCACTCTGGCTTGTGAACAGCCATAAAGGGGCTGGCAGCTGGCCTCTGACCCTGCAGGGAATCCCCCCAAACAGCATCTTGCTACCCCACGCCTGGGTTGTGTGCTGTGGATGGATGGAGGGTGCCCTAGACCAGAGGTTGCCCAACTCTGTGGCAAGAGGGGAAAAACCCAGCACCTGCTGACCCCGTTTTGGAGAAATGTTATCCACCCAGAGGAGTGTGCCTTCTGTTCCTGGGGCAGGGAGCATGGGGAGGGACACAACATAGCATCTCTCACCAAAAATCTTTGGTTTTTATTCACACTTTGGACAAAGAAAAGACCAGTTCTCTCCCTTCGGTTATCTTTAACAGAAATGTGAGACATACATTCAAGGGATCTTGGCTCAGTCTGTTAATGATGTAGGCTTTTATCTTGTCAACATCCAGAGCTGGCATGGGCACCTTAAATTAACCAAGACACCACAAGAACA